CAATCAATGAAGCTCTTGCAAGCACTTAAAGCGAATGTGCGAGGCGCTAAGGCGAGAGCCACATTTGGAAACCTCCCGCCCTCCATCTGCGAAGCTGACGTCACTTTCTAAGCTTCAGAGTCATAAATGGTGAGGAGGTCTCAGGCGAAACGCTCGGCCCGCCCTAAAAACTTGCCTCGGGGTGCGACAGAGAGGAGTTATCTATAACGAGAAGGAATGGAGGAGGAGGAGGAGGAGGAGGAGGAGGAGGAGGAGGAGGAGGAGGAGGAGGAGACGGAGGAGGAGGAAGGAGGAGAGAGGAGGGGGAGCGGGAAGGCGAGGAGGAGAGGAGGAGGAGGAGGAGGAGGAGGAGAGGTAGATGGAAAGAGGAGGAGGAGGGATGCAGAGGAGGAGAGGAATACGCAGAGGAGGAGGAGAAGATGAGAGGGAGGAGGAGGCGGAGGAGGGAGATCAGGAGGGGGAAGGGCGAGAAGCAGGAGGGGAAGAGGAGGAGAGGAGGAGGGGGAGGATTGAGGAGGAGGGAAGGGAGGAGGAGGAGGAGGAGAGGAGGAGGAGGAGGAGAGAGGAGGAGGAGGGAGGAGGAGGGGGAGGGGGAGGGGGAGGGGGAGGAAGGGGGGAGAGGCTGAGAGGAGGGGAAGGGGGAGGGGAAGGAGTTAGAGTTACGGAGATACGTTTATTGGGACTGTGTTAGTTATTTATGCCTTCCATTGAACGTGCCGCATCCTGGCTTTCTCAGCTTTGCTGTAGGCTTTAGGCCAGACCCCCCGTTCAATATTCATGATATACTCTTTACGATTACCCTCGGCTCGCAGTGGATTTGGCTTCGCGAGCTGGAGCAGCTGCTGTGCTGCGTAGCTCCCACATCCAGCCCAGCATGAGAGTTGAAAGAATGGGTATTTTCAGCCCAGCCCCCACAGATGTGCACCCTGCAACCGGAGGGCGGCCTGACGATTATGCCATCGATTGTCCTCAGGTCAAAGCACGGGGATCCCAAGCACGCAGCTTTAGATGCTCTAGTGGTAGTGGTCTCACAACTGGTGCAGGGCAGACCGTTGTCAGACCACGCGTGCTGGGAAGCACATTCGGTACAGACCGAGGGAGCAGGGGGCCCGGGAGCAGGGTGCCTGACACGGGCTCCTCGGGGCTCCTCGGCGGCTAAGGCTTGCACCGGTTTCAGAGCTTCTAAAGTCAAGGGCGTAAAAAACGCCCCTACCCTGGTTTATGAGGCGCTGTGCGCTGAACCTCCTGTGGGCTGACAGGGTAAACCCTGCGTATCACGCGTGCCGCGCGGCGTCCTGGCGGCTCTCTGGCCTGGGGGAGCTCCCAGGAGGTTTACTGACCACGCACTTGTAACCCAGGGTAGGGGCGTTTTTTTCATTTCTCATAAAGTGCTGAAGAGGACTCGAAGATGGACATGATGCGCCATCTTCTCGTTCTGGAAAGCTCTGGCGCGATCAAAGGCGGGCATGCGGGCAGCACTGGTGGCAGCCTCTGCTAATTCATCGGCTGCAGCGCTGCCGATCGCCCAACACAGAGGTGACCTGCCCTGAAGGACATCGCACGCCTCTTGCTGGAAGTGAGCGAAAACAACATTGCACTGTAAGCTAGGTTTGTTATGAAGGACCTGCCCGATTTGCATCCACAAATCCGCGTTCTCACCCTCTGGGGTAAACGCTCGACTACAATTCCAGCCTGAACAAGCGCCTGAGTTATCTGTGGTATCGACTACCACTTCACCGGAACCTGCACGTGCTGTGAGGAAGGTGAACCTCTGGGGTAAATGCTCGACTACAATTCCAGCCTGAACAAGCGCCTGAGTTATCTGTGGTATCGACTACCACTTCACCGGAACCTGCACGTGCTGTGAGGAAGGTGAACCGTTCCCCGCTCGGCACGCTCTGATGGGTCCATGGGGGTCCCCCCCCTAGACAGAGGCTTCTACCTGCATGTTCAAGGACAGCTCAGAATACTTGGCGATTCCGCACCCTACTCGGCGCAGCCTGAGATCACTACTGTCTTCGCCTCCCTTCGCGTCGCCGAGCAGGAAGGGCCGGCTCAGAGCCCTTCCCGAAGCAGTCATCCTCCAGCGCCTCGACGCCTCGGCAAGCCCAGCTGGCCGCTTGCGGAGGTGCAGGGACGGCAACCGAAGACAGAGGCAACGGGCCTCGCATCCGCAAACCAGACCCGACCTCATGCTGGCCGTGTGCACGAGGGGCATGCTGTGGGGGGCCCACAAATATACACCACCACCACCTCCCTCTCCACCTCCCTCTCACTGGAACGAGGAGAGAGGAGGAATCGACGTGGTGGTGGTGTATATTCTTTGGGCCCCCATGCTGGTCAGACTGCTCGCATATCTTGTGGTCCTTGCACTTCGAGCAGGCCCGAACTCGGTGGAACGAACTCTCAGGCTGTGGCCGACAGCTAGCATACACCGTGGATGTAGCTTGCTTCGATTGCGCCGATCTTCTCTCACGTGGCCAAGCCGGCCCAACTGCTGCTGAGAGGAGACGGCCTGAAAGTCGCCTCCCGTCTGGACCAGCCTCGAGCTGGCGAAGTGCGTCACGAAGAGACACATTACACACTCCATCCTCCATTCCCCTTCCGTCGTAATGCTCGGCGGCTTGTCGCCACATCCTGCGCATGACAGTGCTCTCGTACTCCTGCAAGAAGGAGGAAGGGATATTGACAGCCTCGAAGCCTGTGACCAGCTCGGGGTTGAACTGCCAACAGTGCTGGAGACCTGTACCGTCATCAGGAGCTTGCCAGTCAGCGGGCCCCTCAGGGCTCCATCCCTCATGCATGGGTTACGCCTCCACCGCTTTCTGAGGTCCGCGAACGTGTCGGCTACGTCGCTGCTGTTGCTCCCGAAATTCTTGCACGATGCTGGCCCTCGTCCTGGTGACCCCTGCCCGCACACTTCGGTTGAGAGAGCCAAGTCCGAATCCATACATGTAAACATTATTTCGGCAACTTATAGACTGGGTCACGACCTGGAGCTAGTATGTCCAATAGCGTGGTGAAGAGGAGGAGGAGGAGGAGGAGGAGGAGGAGGAGGAGGAGGAGGAGGAGGAGGAGGAGGAGGAGGGGGAGGATGAGTAAGGTGGAGGAGGAGGAGGAGGAGGAGGAGAGGGAGGAGGAGGAGGAGGAGGAGGCTTAGACGACGGTCGACGACGTGTCCCTCCTGAGCCAGTCCTCCTCGAGCGTTCCCTCTCAGGGGCGAGGGGGTCGACGATGACGACTGCGAGGGGCCGGGCAGGCAGCCTGGCGAGAGGACGCGACGTGGGCCTCGCCCCACTCGCAGCGCCCGAGAACGTCCGAGGCGTGGGCACGAGGGGTGGCGGAGGGAGGGGACGGAGGCCAGGATTGGGGGGAGGGCGGGGGGGAGCTGGAAGCAGACAGCCCTGGACGTGACCCCGTCCTCCCTGTCGGTCCCTCCGCCTCTCTCCCCCTCCCCCTCCGGGCGCCGCCGTCTCCGCGGGCAGCCCTCACCGCGGGGCCATGACCGGGGCCTCCCGGATTGGGGTCGGAGCAGTGGGGCTCGGAGGGTCGTGCCGCACCGCCGGAGCACGTGCTCGAGGCAGGCGGGGCCTGCTGTTGCGCAAGTTTGGCGGCCGCTGGCCGAGAAGTGTGCGGCCACGGCGAGCCTCCTCCTCCTCCTCCGCCTCCTCCTCCTCCTCCTCCTCCTCCTCTTCTCCTCCTCCTCCTCCTCCTCCTCCTCCTCCTCCTCCTCCTGCTCCCCCTCCTCCTCCCCCTCGCTGGCAGCCCCAGTTTCAGGGCTGGTCGAGGGCCGAGCGAGTTTTCCACCTGCAGCGCCAACTGCTGTGGGACGAGCAGCTTTGACGCCTCTCACGTACTGACTTTCTTTTATTCAAGACGCTTCGCGTTCGCCGCCCGCCCACTCCAGTTCTCGCCGGAGGGGGCTCACATGGGGGCCGCAGACGGGAGAAGCTGCGCCCGTCTTCCGGTCATAACGGGGCCGGTTCTGGGCTGTTTTGGGGTCCGTTTGGGGGCCCAAGGTGGGCCCCGAATCTGCCCAAAGTGACCCCGGAGCGCGCCCAGAAGCGGCGTCCAAAGGAGGTCGTCTTGCAAGCCGTCTTGGAAGCCGTCCTGGGGCCCGAAACAGTTCACTGGCGCAGCTGGGCGGTCATTGGCGCAGCCGGGCGGCGGAATGGCGGAGGCCTCCGTGGGGGGATAAAGGGGGGGGATTAACTTGGCATCGCTCGGACGTGTGCGTTTTTTCCTCGGCGACGGCCATCGAGGAGCATCCTTGATCATTTGGCGAAATGGAACAAAAAACACAGGGAATGGACGTCCGAGCGATGGCCAGTTGGATGAGTGCGAGGGTCTCTTGGGGTGCTTCTCTGGAGCCTCTTGGAGAACTCTTGGGGGCATCTGGGAGGCTCTTTGGGGCCTCGTGGGGTCTCCGGGGGGGGCTTCTTGGGGGCGTCTCGGAGGCCTCTCGGGGCCTCCTGGAGGGCCTCACGGGCTCGAGGGGCCATCTGGCTGGGATGCCACACGTGCTGACGCACGTTCAGTTAGGAAGCGCATGTTTGTTACAGCAACCTGGAGTTGCCGTGCTCCACCTTCGCCTGCTCCGTCTCACGCCATTCCTTCGCTCTCCCCCTCGCCCGCCTGCTACGGGTTGCTTGCTGTGGATTCCGATTCAAGCATCGTGCTCCCACCCTTCATGGCATTCGTGCTTGTTCCTGGTACGAGAGATCAAGAGTTCGTGCGCGTGCTCCGCCCTGCTCGTGCCGCCATATTTCGTATTCCGTTCATCCGCGCAGCCTGCTGTCGTCGCTGCTATTTGTAAGTATGTCTGTTTTGTCCGTTGCTCTCACCGTCTCTCTCTCTCTCTCTCGTTACCTTGTTTTTGTTATTTCTCTCTCTCTCTCGCTCTCTTTCTGCCTCTGCCTCTCTCACTCTGCTCCTCTCTCTTTGTTTTTGTTGTCTCACTCTCACTCTCTCCCTCCCTCTCCTTGCCTCCTCGTCGGGGCAGGTGAAGGCGCTCCGGGACGAAGTGAAGGAGAAGGCTGCCCGCCAGCAGGGGAGGGCGAGGGGGACGAGGAGGACGGGGGGCAGGAGGAGGGGGAGAAGGAGGAGGGGGAGGGGGAGGAGGAGGAGGAGGAGGAGGGAGGAGGAGGAGGAGGAGGGAGGAGGAGAGGAGGGAGGAGGAAGGAGGAGGAGAGAGGAGGGGAGGAGGAGGAGGAGGAGGAGGAGGAGGGAGGGAGGTGGGAGGAGGAGGGGGAGGGGGGAGGAGGAAGGTGAGGAGGCAGGAGGGGGAGGAGGAGGAAAAGGAGGGGGAGCAGGAGTAGGAGGAGGAGGAGGAGGCGCCCCGCCACTCGGGGTGAGGAGGAGGAGGTGTGAGGATCCAGGAAGCCAGGGAGAGGGGGGGAGGGGGAAGCGGGGGAATGGACGAGCGAGGGGGAGCAGGAGGGGGAGGAGGAGGAGGAGGAGAAGAAGGAGGAGGAGGAGGAGGAGGAGGAGGAGGAGACTCTGGAGTCTCTGCCTGATCGCGTAGCGATATGAATGAAATGCACCAGCACCTACTGTGGGCGCTTCCTCTGGGCTCGCTCAGCCTTGCTGAGGACTTTGGGCCAGAGCCCCACATTAATATGCCGTAAATACTCACGCCCTGTGGCTGTCGGGGGTTCACAGGTGGCCGCGAGCTTCCCAATTTGATGGGAGGCACATGTGCCACACATCGAACATAACCAAATCCCCAGCCTCGCGTGGAACCTCGGACGATGGGTTAATGAATCCTCCCCTCTGCTACGTGTACCTGCATGCTCAGGGGGGCCTCATACAAGTGCCACATTGATGAGGTTAATCTATTCTGGTGTATACCATTCTACACGGGTAGCTTGTGTGGCTGACCTTTGACGCATTGTGCATTTGCGGCCTGATTCGTCCAGCTTTTGGGTGGAGGCAAACGCGGCGCACATGGCGGGAGCTGTGGGTCGGGCAGGCTGGGCCCTGTCTCGCCTAGTCTGTCTCCTACCTACTTGGGCTCCTCTGTCGGCTATTTCGTGGGCTCGTTCGAATTCGAGTGCTTCTAGGGTGGACCTTAATCGGCACATGCGAACTAGGTATGCTTTATTATCAATCAGGTCAATTTGCTGTCTGATCGTCCTGGCTACTCGGTGTTCGTCGGCGGCCACGTGGGCCAACTCATCAACGACTGTGCTGCAGTATGTAAGCGATCGATTGGCTCGCCCTCTCGCAATGTCTTCGGCCCCCTGGTAAGAGAGAACAAGTGGTACTGTGACATCTCCCTCGCTTTTTCCGAGCAACTTGCCAGCTCGATACCAGAGATCGGCGTCGGGGCCGATGGGTCGGTGAAGATGGACGGTGTAGACGTTCAGGTAAACGCCCTCGCAATCCGTCGCGTAGATGACGTCAAGGTCGGAGACCTGCAAGGCGAGGAGAAGGGCGAGCAGCTCGCCCCGTACCACAGTCTGCCGCTCGCCTGGGGGTGGTCCCCAGAGCGCCGTGTCCAGCTCCATGCCATGCCGTTGGCGTCGAGGTCGTGGAAGGCTGCGATGGCGACGCTGACACGCTGTAGGAGGAGGAGAAGGAGGAGGAGGAGTAGGAGGAGGAGTAGGAGGAGGAGTAGGTGGAGTAGGAGGAGGAGCAGACGGAGGAGGAGGAGAAGGAGGACCAGTGTAGATCCAATGCTCCTTGACGATGCTGGGATGCATCCTCCCCGAAAGCTCCCTCTTCACAGGCTCCTGCAGTGGTTCACTTCCACCGAAGGAAATGCCCCGTTGGGAGACAACCCTTTTGAATACCCGGAAGCGTGCCACAATACAGCATTCTCGGGACGCCAACGCCACGACTCTGCAACGGACCGTGGCGCTTTGACGACCCAGAATCGTGCCAGAACGCCACATTCCTGAGACTTCAGCACCGCGAATCCGCTTAACTGCTGTTCCCTGGCAGTCCTGGACTGCTCCAAACATCGTTTCTGGTAGGTTAACCGCGGAAGCCCGTGGTACTATTGTAGTTGTGTAAAACGAGTGTCCGCGGCGCTACGTCGATTTGAAAATGAGCCGCCCCTCAATATGTGAAGCTGTTTCAACATGTAAGCACGACGGTGCGCGGCGTTGAGGCGACAGGCATAGTTCCAAAACAACCCGCCCTCAATCCGTGAAGCTCTTGCTAATGTTGAGAAGGAGTGTGCGCGGCGTTGAGGCGAGGGCCACATTTCCCAAACGACCCGCTCTCAATCGCGAAACTCTTTCAGTGCATGAAGACGAATCTGCGCGGCGCTAAGACGAGAGCCACATGTTCAAAACGACCCGCCCTCAATCAATGAAGGCCCATCAAAGTTACAACACGAATGCGCTCGGCGCTGAGGTGAGAGCCGCGTTTTGAAATCGACCCACCCTCCAGTTGCTAAACTGTTGTTAAGGTTTAAGCTACCGGGGCATGCGTCGTGTGGATGTCTCAGGCGAAACGCCCGGCCAACCCTTTCGACCTGCCCCTGGGGGGGGGGCAACAGGGAGGAGTTCTGAATAAGGCACATGAACGGAGGAGGAAGAGGAGGAGGAGGAGGAACACCAGTGCACACCCAATATTCACCAACGATATGGTGGTAACCCGTCTCTTCACACGCCCCATGCAAGAATCCATGTTCATCGAGGGAAATCCTCGTTGGAAGACAACCGCTTGAATATCCCGAACTGTGCCAGCACACTCTTCCTGGGACTTCAATGCAGCGAACTACAATTTCTGCTGCGCCTGGACGATCCTGAATCGTGCCAGAACACCATTCCTGGGACTTCAACACCGTGAGGCAACGTGACTGGTGCGCCCTGACATTCCGACATCGTGACAAAACACGGTGTCTAGGACGTGAACATCTGGAGGTCATTCGATTTGCCCTCCCTTTTAATTCTCTCGGCGGTGAATAAAGCTGGTTCCTCCTCCACCTGCTCGTTGTCGTTGTCCTCCTCCACCTCCTCCTCCTCTTCCTCCGCCCCCCTTCTCCTCCTGCTTCAACATTATTAATGGTTCTTGGGTTTGCACTGGTCCTCGTCCTCCTCCTGCTCCTCCTCGTCCCATTCCTAAGGAGCAGGGGGAGGAGGAGGAGGAGGAGGAGGATGAGGAGGAGGAGGAGGACGACGATGAAGAGGAGGCGGAGTAGAAGGAGGAGAAAGAGGAGGAGGAGGAGGAGTCGTACTCGTAGTCGTAGCTGCAGTCGTAGTCGTAAGATTTGTTGTGATTGCAGTCGTGGTCGTAGTTGTAATCGTCGTCGTCGTCGCGGCGGAGAGTATTTTCCCTCTGTTGTTGGGCGGGCTGGGGAATGTTCAGGGTTCGTTCCCTCAGAGAATAATCCACTGCGAGATACCCTACACGCAAGAAGATGTATGAGCATCCTCTCATGAGGACTGCAATCGGGATCAGCGATTGTGGTTGCACTCGTGCTTGTGTTCGTGGTTGTAGTCGTGATTGTATGCGTGGTTGTAGTCGTAATCGTAATCGTAGTCGTAATCGTAGTCGTAGTCGTAGTCGTTGTGGTTGTCGCGGCGGAGATTATTTTCCCTCTAACTTTGGGCGGGCTGGACCAGATTCGGGGATTCCTTCTCCCAGGGAGGAAATGCTCCCTGAGCGACCCTGCACGACAAACGGATTTTGAACACGTCCGTAACAGGAATCCAATACAGATCAACACATTCTTCGCCGAAGGCGTTGCTCACAACCTCCTCCTTCACCTCGTCGTCGTCGTCGTTGTTGTGCGGCGGTGTTGCGGGGAGAGAATCTGCCAATGGGGTCGCCGAACGTTCGTTTCCACTACTGGGGTGGGGTAAAGACATAGTTCGGTCAACCATGGGAACCCTTGGAATTGGTGCAAACTCTTCAGACGAATGTGCGCGACGCCCAGGCGAGAGCCACAGTTTGAAAAGGAGCCGCCCTCCATCCGTAGAGCCCCTGCAAGCTCCAGACCGAATGTGCGCGGCACCGAGGCGAGAGCCACATGCTGAAAACGGACCGCCCTCCATCCGTGAAGCTCCTGTATCATCTTTTCTAAGACGAGGGATCCTGCTTTTCTTTGTGGGACGAGTGCGTGCGGCGCTCAGGCGCGAGCCACACTCTGAACGCGGCCCGCCCTCCCCCCGCGCAGTGCTTGCAGCCTTCCAGATCGAACGTGCGCGGCGCTCGGGCGAGGGCCGCATTCTGCAAGCGGCCAACCCTCCATCCGTGAAGCTTCTGCGGTCTTTTACGGACAGGTGTGCGCGGCGCTCGGGCGAGAGGCCACGTCTGGAACACGACCCGCCCTCCCATCGTGAAGCTCTCTTGCTAGTGTTTGATGCGAGCGTGCGCGGCGCTAGGACGGGGGCCACGTTTTGAAGACCAGCCGCCCTCCATCTGTGAAGCTGTTGCAGGTTTCGAGCTTCAGGAAATGGCGAGGAAGGCTCAGGCGAAATGCCCGGCCCGCCCTTTCAATTTGCGTCGGGGCGCGACAGGGAGGAGTTAAGCATCAGGAATAGGGATGGAGGAGCAGGAGGAAGAGGAAAAGGACGAGGACGAGGAGGAGGAGGACCAGTGTAAGCCCAAGACTCATCAACGATATTGCAAAACACCCTCCAAGCTCCCATCGGCCGCTACAAGGGTTCATGCTCATTGAATGAAATGCCCCGTTGGAGAACAACCATTTGAAAATCTTGAATTGTGCCAGCACGCCATTCCTGGGACTTCAGCGCGGCGAATCACCCTTACAGTTGCGTCTTGACGATCCAGAATCGTGCCGTAACGCCACAGTAAATCCGAAAATAACACCCAAACTGGCAGGGGAGGCCGTGGATGACCTGGGCAACCCCGTCGCGGCTGCTCCATCGCTGCTGCTTGCGCTCGGGTCAGGATCCGGGCGTTCGTCGGAGGTGAGGCGTCGACTCCTCCTGCCCCTTCTGCTGCTCCTACTGGTTCTCTTGTTCCTCCAGCTCCCTTTCCTCCTCCTCCTCCTCCTCCGTCCTCGGTGCCACAGCATGACTCGGCTCGAAGAGCTGTTCGGTATCATGCGCCGAAGGAGCTTGTAACCGATCTTGGCCCTGTTCTGGCCAGCAGAAGATCAGGCACACGTCTCTTGTGGGGGGGGGGGAAAGGAGTCGGAAGGGGGAGGAGGATGAGGATGAGTCGGGTCAAGATATTCAGAAGTGCTTGTATTCACCCATCGGCGCGTATGCTTGTCGGCTTGATTGGCCAGCCAGGAAAGGTCGTGCCGTCTCCCCCTCCTCTCCCGAGACTCGTTCCGCCAGGCCAAGGAGGCCGTGAAGTCGGTCGAGGGCGCAGACAAGGAGTTGGCCAGCGTCGAAAACCACATGAAGGGGCTGACTGGCAAGGCCGCGCCAGCAGCCAGAGGAAGGATGGTAGCCCGGTCGCGTCGCATTATTATTTTGCTTGTGCTGCTTCTGCTGTGCTGCTGCTGCTGCTGCTGCTCCTGCTGCTGCTGCTGCTGCTCCGTCTTCTGCTGCTCCTGCTGCTGCTGCTGCTCCTCCTCCTCCTCCTCCTCCTCCTCCTCATCATCATCATCCTCTTCCTCCTCCTCCTCCTCTTCCTCGTCCTCCTCCTCTTCCTCGTCCTCCTCCTCCTTCTCCTCCTCCTCCTCCTCCTCCTCCTCCTCCTCCTCCTTCTCCTCCTTCTCCTCCTCCTCCTCCTCCTCCTCCTCCTCCTCCCGCGCGGGTGCCTCCCTCCCTCCACCCTCTCCCCGGGGAGCCCCATCCGAGGCGGGGACTTGCCCGCGACCGCCGCCTGCGCAAGATCGAGCTTCGGGGGCCTCGGCGGGCGGCGGTGATGCGGATACCCTCGGCCATGGGGGGGGGGGTGCGGGGGGTGAGGAGGAGGAGGAGGAGGAGGCGGAGGAGGAGGAGGAGGGGAGGAGGAGGAGGAGAGGAGGAGGAGGAGGAGGAGGAGGAAGAAGTGGAGGAGGAGGAGGAGGAGGCGGGGGAGGAAGAGGAGGCGGAGGAGGAAGAGGCAGAAAGAGGAGGAGGCTGGCCCGCCCCCGCCTTGCCCTTGCCCGGGCCACCGCCTGCAGCAACCCGTGGACTCGCCCGGGGGTCCGCCTCGGTTGCCCGTGGTTGCCCGCGGTTGCCTCTTCGGCCCTGGGGTGGGGTGCGGGTGGGGCCCTGGGGTGGGGTGCGTGGAGACCCATGCCAAGGCACTTTTGGGGGGTCGCGGCTGGGCAGAGGAACTGCGCTGGCGGAAGAGCTGACTCAGCGGGGGCACCGTGGTAGCGAGTTGTGCAGCGAGCGCAAGAGGCCGGAAAAGGGGGGTGCAGGGCGGGCGGCCGAAGGAGGGGAGGAGAGGGGCCGTTCCGGGGGATGGGTCACACCCGGGGCGTGTGGCGCGGCTGGCCCCGCCGGCGTGTTCAGCGGCGGCTGCTGCGCCGGGGTCCCAGCGGCGGCGGGGCGAAATGCGGGGCGAACGCCTGGGTCTCGATGGTTGAAGCAGTGGCGAAGCGTCCCGGCTCGCCCACAGCCCCACCAAACAAACGTTCTAAGAACCTTTTGTTCCCACGGAATGTTCTTAGAACATTTCTGGCGGAGTCTGTTTTGTTTTAACACATCGGGTTCTTGTTCTAAGACAATTGTTTTTGTTCTTAGAATATGTTTGGGTTGGGTTATAAGAACATTTCGTGGTAGGACTATAGGAATGCCGGGACGGTCGGTCCCTGCTCAGATGGTGTTGCTATGGAAAGCGTGACGCTCCCACGCCAAAAATCAGTGGACGCCCCGGGGTCCCAGGGCCGGGCGTCTTGTGGCAGGTTTCTTGTGGTCGGGCCCCCTATTGCCTCCAGGTCCACCGCCCGCCGACGTCCCCGAAGCTCGATCCTCCAGGCGGTGGCCATGGACAAATCTCCGCCTCGCAGGCTCGGGCCGTCCCAGGGCCGCCCCGGGCACGCGTGGGGCCACCTCTCTTTGGCCAGCTCCGGTGCCGCCTCGGGGAGGCCTCGGGCCAGCTCCGGGGCCGCCGCGGGGCCTCTTCGGAGGACCCCCTCTGGACACGAGGCAGGAGCGGCGCAGTCTGGGGCGGCCCGAGGGCGGTCCAGGGTCCAGGGGGCTGGCACGAGGGGCGAGGAGCAACCGTGCGGTCGGACCGAGGGGCTGGCACAAGGGGTCTTCGTGGTCTCCCGTCGTCCTTCCGCGCTCGGGATGCGTTCCAGCGGCTGCGCCTCGCCGAGAGCGTTCGGGGGGTGTCCGACTCGTCCCGAGAAGCAGCCGGAGAGCCCAGTTCTGACCCCCAAACCGAATTCGGCGGCGCGTCCGGGGGGTAGGGTTGGGCTGAGGTCTACGATCGAGGTCGGTTCGGGGAGGGTGCCCTGATGTTCTTCGCGTCTGTTGGATGTTCTTGTGCCTCCTGGGGCAGGGCATCCTCGAATGTTCTGCACACTGGCCGGCGGAGGGCCTCTTGCTCTCGAAGGATGCTCTCGTGTCCTAGGTTCGGCCGCAGCCTTTGGGGCCTCGAGGGCCCATCGCTGGACGAGCTCGGGGCGTTGTGTGATGGCCGTTTCAGCACGGTCTCGGGCTCTCTTGGGGCCGTCTGGGGGCCGAACGGGGCGCCGACTAGCATTACGTCGGGCCTGTCCCTCTACAGGGGGAAAATTCAAAAATAGTCAAACAATAGCCTGGGGACTATTTTTTGAGCATCTTTTGACCATTTGGGAATATTCTGGAATCTTTTTTTGGACTACTTTTTAACTCTTCGTCCAAAATCCCCCTGTAGGGGGACAGGCCCGACTTCAGACTAGCAACTTCAGGGGGGGGGTCGGTCAAGGGGGAGGGAGGCACTTGGGTTCAGAGGTCGCATGGGTGCGGGCGGTGCGGCGGAGAAGCGGAAGAGCGGTGGGCTGCGGCCGAAGCCTCGAGGGTTGCAGGTCCTCAGCGCTTTCTTCGGGGCGATCGGTTGGAGCGCGCCCGGGGGCGCACGGGAGCGCCTAGGGTCGCTCTGTTCGCCCTCGTTCATGTCCAGCCCTAGCCTCCTCCTCGGTGTCTCTCGGTGTCACTTACCCCCGCCTCCTCCCTCCTTCCTCCCCCCTCCTCCATCACTCCTCCTCCTCCTCCTCCTCTCCTCCTCCTCCTCCTCCTCCTCCTCCTCCCCCCTCTCTCCTCCTCCTCCTACTCGGTCCTCGTCCAGCAGCTCTTACCTCCTCCTCCTCCTCCTCCTCGAAAGGCTGGAGCCTTTGGGCGCGTACCTTTGGAGTGTTCTTCGCTCTTGGCGCCTCTCCATGGGGCCTTGGCGGGCTCTCGACGAAGGGGCTCGCCTGTCTCTTGGTGGACGTTCTCTTTTGTGTCCATGCTTCGGCTGCAGAGGGTGTACGAACACGCCCTGCCAGGGATGGCGAGGCTGCGCCCCTCGGAAATCCGTAGAGAAATGGCATCAGCTTTCGTGGGCTCCAGGTCTTACTCGGGCTGGACTGGGGGGTACCATCATGTCCACCAAGGATGGCCGAGGCTACGCCACTCAGAAATCAGAAAAAAACAAACCAGCCACGTTGATGGGCTCCAGATCTTATTTCAGAAAATCAAGGATCTGGACTGGACCCTGGGCGGTGTGTCCATGTTTCGACTGTAGAAGTGGTACTACCATGCCCACCGGGGAAGGCGTGGCTACACCCATCAGAACTCTGGAGACAAGCATTCATTTCCATGGACTGCAGATCATACTCAAGAAGATCAATATTCTGGACTGGACCCTGGGCGTTTCTTGGAGCTCCCTTTTCCGTGCAGCTTACATCGACCTGGACTTGGTCTACCGTGTAAGACAATGCTTTGAGTGACGTCCGATTTCTCATCTTGAGACTTTTTTGCTTATCCGCAGGGGGTGTCAGCTCGCTTGTTTTGAAAACGAGGACGCCGGAGGAACCACAGGGTGGGGCGGGTTGGGGGGGCGGGTTGCGGGTGTTCAGGGAGGGGGCGGGACAGGTCCTGGAGAGGAGCGTGTTTCTTTCAGGGGGGGCGCGGGGGGGCTGTTCCAGAGCGGGGGAGGTTGGGGTTCTGCACCAGTGAAGCGCGCACAGAAGACACTCCTCCCACACAAAAAACGACACCATAATGGAAAGCCGCGGGGCACCGAGGGAGTGGGCTGGCCTGGGAGTAACTTTCACAATGCCAGTGCCGCGTGGAAGACAAGCATGGCAGATCTGAGTAGTGTAGAGTGCCGAGTAGGAGTAGCTGGGGCACGCGCGCAGGCTGAGTGGAATCAGTGGTTCGATCACTTGCACGCGGGCCACTCCACCGTCTGAGCTCCGCGAAAGACCCTGCGGAGCCAGCGCTGTCAGCCATGTGTCCGGCGCCGCCCCGGGGAAAGCTGCGCGCTGGAGGCGGAGGAGGAGGAGGAGCGAGGAGGAGGAGGAGGAGGAGGCGGCTGAGGAGGAGGAGGAGGAGGAGGAGGAGGAGGAGGAGGAGGGAGGAGTAGGAGAGGAGGAGGAGGAAGGGGAGAGGAGGGGAGGTGGAGGAGGAGTGAGGAGGAGGAGGAGGAGAGGAAGGAGGAGGGGAGAGCGGAAGGAGGAGGAGCGTGGAGGAGGAGGAGGAGAGGAAGGAGGTAAGGAGTGTGGAGGAGGAAGGAGGAGGAGGAGGAGGAGGAGGGAGGAGGAGAGATGGAGGAGGAGGCGGCGGAGGAGACGGAGTAGGAGGAGCGAGGTGGATGGAGGAGGAGAGGAGGGAGGATGGAACGGGAGGAGGAGGGGCGGAGGAGACGGAGGGGGAAGGAAGGGAGGAGGAGGAGGAGGGAGGAGGAGGGAGGAGGAGGAGAGCGAGGAGGAGGAGGAGGAGGACGAGGAGGAGGAGGAGGAGGAGGCCAGCGGGGCGCGTGTCGCGGTCCCGCCGCCCGCTGTGCTGCCCGCGAGGCCAAAGGCGCCTCCGTGTCCGAGATGCACGCCCTGGCCGAGGAGACCGACGCCCTGATAGAGAAGGCCAAGGCGAGCCCTGCTCCTGGGAGGGTGCCCGCCACCTTCAGGAGGGGGGAAGAACACACAGACACAATTCATCGTCGATTCCCAGAAGATATGAGAAAATCTGGGAAGTGGGGGGGAAGACAAAGACCCAGAACATAGAGGACAACATGGGGAATCCGGTTATTTGTGTGTATTTATGTGTGTGTGTGTGTCCCAGGGCCCCTTTACATCTGCATGCTCCACTCCTTGCCAGGTCGTTCCTGGTACCCGGGTTGGCGATCTCAGCTGGAGTGCCCCCCGTTGATCATGCTAGCCTCAGGACTGGATTGGGTGGATTTCGGTATGCTGGGATTCTCGAGCTGTCGAACTTTCCGAACTGAACTTCGAAGTGGATTCCGCAGTGAATTCTGAATGCGCTTCTAAGGAAGCTCAAGTGCGTGCATGTTGCGCGAGGGACGCCCCCAACAGCTCATTCGAAATCCGTTCCGATATCCACTTCGAAGTTCTTTTCAAATTTCAGTTCGGACTTTCATTTCGAACCCGCGACACTTGGTTACCCAATGCATGCTGGAACCTAGCAATCTGGCACTGCTTGTCCTCGTCCTGCTCCCTCCTCCCGAGGAGGCCTCGGCCGTTGGGATCTGCTTTGCAGCCGTCACTCGTGGCTTGTGTCGCGCTTGTCGTGGAGAGCTCTCTAGTGGCATCGCCGCCTCCGTCCCACCAGGCATCTTGCGCCCGTTGTCGCTGCGATCGCTGTGCTCAGAGCCTTGGTGGCGGACTCTTGTCGATCGACGCTTCATAGATATGGTATGGACGTGCGCCCAGACTGTGGACATTGGTCCACTGACGGCAGGGGGGGGGGAGGGGGCGATGGCGAGGGGGGGCGAGGGGGGGGGGGCGGTGAGGACGGAGGGGGGGGAGATATCCTGGCCAGGCCAGGGCCGACGAGGTCTCCCAGTGTTTCACGCCCCCCCCCCTCCGCGCGTCTTCCTCTCTCGGCACGCCCCCTGCTCCCCTCTCTCTCCCCGAGGTCTGCACGTTTTTTTTGATCCGGGGCACGTTTTTGTTTATCCCCAGATCTTGTTCACCCCCAGATCTTTCTCTGACGGCCCTGTGGCCTGGGGAGGAGGGCCCCGAGGGGCTGAAAGCAGGAGGAGTCCCTCCGCCGCACTTCTTGCCCCTGCGCGAGGGGGGTCAGGGCGTACAGCCAAGACACCGAAAGAGAAGGAGACCACCTCGGGCTCGCGAGGGGCTCTTGGTCTTCGGGCCGCTCCTCTGGTCGACGACGACGACGACGACGACAACGACGACGACGACGACGACTACGCCGACGCCGCCGCCGCCGCCGCCGCCGCCGCCGCCGCCGCCGCCGCCGCCGACGACGACGACGACGACGACGACGACGACGACGACCTGGTCGGGGAGCCCGCTCGTGGCCGCGGCTCGCCACGGCCGGCGGGGCGCCTGCGCGCCTCCGCCGGGCGCCTCTGCTCGCCGCAGCGCGCGCGGGCGCGCCACGGCCTGCGCGCCACGGCCTGCCGGGCCCCCCCTCGCAGGGGCGCCCCCCGCGCGCGGCGCCCCTCGCAGGGGCGGCTGCGCGGCCGCCGCGGCGGGCCGCCGCGCCGCGGCGGGGCGGCGCGCCCGGGGCCTCCTCGTCGAGCGCGCCGCCTCGCTGCGGCCAGTCTGGCCGTAAGTCGGGCCTGTCCCCCTACAGGGGGATTCTCGACAAAAAATTGAAAAATACACCAACAATAGTCAAACAATAGTCCCAAAGTAATCTGGGGATTATTTTTGGACTGTTTTTTTTTGTTTTGTTGCCTTTTTGGTGCATGTTTGGGGTATTTGTTATTCTTCGTTGAAAATCCCCCTGTAGGGGGACACGCCCAACATAAGTCTGGCCGCACCCGTCGGCGAGGAGCCTTGGCTCGAGGCTTCGCGGGAGAGCTCTGCGAGTTCGCGCGCGCGCGGGGCGGCAGCCTGGACGCGCTTGCGCCCAGCAGTGCGAAGGCCTCGCGGACGGCGCCGCCGACCCCGAGTGGGGACGTCGAGGGCGATGGCGGCGGTGGCGGCGGCGGCGACGACGACGCCGACGTGGGCCCGAGTCCTCAGGGATGCTTCTTGGGGTCTCTTGGGAAGGCTCTCGGGGGCCTCTGGGGAGGAATTTTGACGTCTTTTGGGAGCCTCTTGGGGGCCTCTTGGTGGCCTTTTCGGGTGTGCTTGGGGCCTCTTGTAGGTAGGCCCCTTGGGGGCCCCTTGGGGGCCTCTTGGGAACCTCCTGGGGCCTCTCGGAACCGCTTGCGCTCGGGATCTTTGGCGACTGGGCAGAACCAAGAACCAACCTTCTGGAAGAAGAACGCGTTACAATTGCCTTGGCGCGGGCTTCTTGGATCGGGATCGGCGCTGGGCCCCCCTTCCGGCGCCGCCTCCCGCGCCGCCCCTGGCGCACTCCGCGCACCAGGGAGGGGGGCTCCAGCGCCGATCCATGCAATCCGCGCGGAGCTCGGACAGATTCTGGTTGTGCAGTTGTTCCCAATCATCCTGTGTTGGGTCCTCGTTTTGCAAAGAGAACGCCCCGCGTCTCCTCCCCCCGTTGCCCTCCTCCCTTTTTTCATGATCCTGGCGAAGGACCCAACCATATGCAGTTGTGAATACCGCGTTGTGGGTACCGCCCTCGGTGGAGCTTCCTATGGGGCCACGAAGCTCGTGCGGGGTGTTCTGTAATGGGTGGGGGATATACATGCGGCTACGGCCAGTGGGGCCTTCGGTGGAGCTTCCTATGGGGCCACGAAGCGCTGTACTGGCCGGGGGGGGCGCATGCGGCCGCGCCCAGTGGTGCCTTCGGTGGAGCTCCCTATGGGGCCACGACACGTTGTATTGGGTGGGGAAGACGTATGCGGTACCGTCGAGTAGCGGTGCAGCGATCGGTTTTCTGGTCAGCTACTTTGGCTTCAGCAGTCGATGACGACACAGGCTGGTGCACATAAGTGCTTCACATGCAGAGCGTGAGCGATCATAATTTTCCGACGCGGGAATGCATCTATAACCACCGCCTGGGGGACCGATCTTCGGGAACCTCAGGCAGGCAATGGATGTGGATATATTCGGACCCTTGGGGGCCAAACATATCCATGTGCACCGCCTTCCGTTGTCTCCGAAAATGATCCACCAGGCAGTGTTTATGTATACATCTCCGCCTCGAGCATTTGCTTTGCAGTGGCATCTGTGACTCTACGTGCCACGCTGCCGCCGACCATGACGCAGCACCAGTGCGGCCAACAGCATGCGCGAGCAAGCTCGCAAGCTGAGTGTTGAAATGCGCAGGTCGGGTGCCTTTCTGGCGCCACGGTTTCTGCGCGTCCACGGTAAATCTGGCGAACTGGTCGCCACCTGATTGTATCGTGTATCGCATGCGCCGCCGGAATCTGCCTGGGACTTGCCGTCTCCCGTCCCAGCTCTACGAGGCCGAACGGTTGGTCGGCCATCCGGGAAAATCAGCCTGGCGAAAGACGAAAGACCCAACAAATGCAATTGTGAGTATCGTCTTCGGTGGAGCTCCATATGGGGGCCACGAGACGTGTGAGGGATGTACCGAAATGGGCGCGGTGGGCGCATGCGGACGCGTGTGAGGGGTGTGCCGAAACCGGTGCGGCAGCGCAATGCGAGGGCAGCCATTGGGGTCTTCGGTGGAACTTCCCATGGGGCCCCAAAGCATGTAGCCACTGGGGCATTCGGGGGAGCTCCCTATATGAGGCCACGAAACGTGTGAGGGGTGTGTCGACATTGGTGCGATGGTGCCATGCGAGCGCAGCCACTAGGGCCCTCGATGGATGTCCCTATGAGGCCACGAAACGTGCGAGGTGTGTCCGAAATGGGCGCGGTGGCGCCATGCGAGCGCAGCCACTGCACCCCGCTCAGGCACGCGCGGTTTCGCCGTCGGGGGCCTGTGGCCGATCTCTGGGCGGTGCGCCACAGGATTGAAGCTCGAGCTCGATGTTTCCCTCATTGAGCCGGTCTCCCTCCCATCAGACCTCGCGTTCCCCTTCGGACGCAGAGATCCGATGCACCGGTTCTTTTCCAGTGTGGGCCCCCTTGGAAGCCCCGACCCTCTCCCATGGGCTGGCTCTGCGTCTCGAGCTGCGTTTTGCGGGTCCCGGGGCCTGGTGAGGGCCCCCCAGGGGCCGGACACGTCCGAGGGCGCTCCGTCGCGATTTTTTCGCGACGCAAGGGTTTTTTTGTTCCATGGTCCAGCGATGACCTGGGTTATCTCGGGGGTGGACAGAACCCCCGACAGTGACACGTCGATTAGTGAATTGTCCGTTTTCGGTTCTCGAGAGGGCGCCGTGGCCGTTATTTTCCAGGCCTGCGCCCGCTAGGTCTGGGCCTCGGGTCGTTTTCACTAAACCACGTTTTACTACAGGGGGGTCTGTCCATCCCCGATTATCGGGCCCGCCCGCCCTCCTCCCTTCCCAGATCATCGGGCCTTCTGCCGTGCAGGTCCGACTGGGGGTACGCCGTGCCGGGGCGCGCGGGCACGCGCGTGGCTGCCCAGAGCGGAAAGACGGGGGCATCGGCCGGCGCCCTGCCCCCACACCCTCATCGAACAGCCCTGGCTGTCGCCGAAGATCACCACCCACCAAACCACCCCAACCCAACCCGAAGGCTCAAATTTACTCTCGATTTCCAGTGGGGGGGGTCGGGAAACATAGAAAAATCACATGTGGAACCCTTACCCCCCCCAACCCGAAATTCGGGTCTTCGGGT